AAATAAGCAACGTCATTATTAACATTACACGAATATAATACAAATAATACCTTGTGAGATCTTCAACCCATTCCTACGTGTAATGGTATCCCTTAACACTCTACCATCTATTGCAGAACTTTTTTATTCCGATAAAACATATATGAATTACATATATGGGGTGCAAATACCAAAAACATTGGAAGTAATTTCATTTTTCTTTGTCCTATATCTAGGCCGGTCAACTGCATCAACATTGACTTTAATGTATATCCCATCCGAAGCTCCCCAACAACCTTTGAACTATTTTCATCTATTATTTATTGAATTTTCTAGTATGGGTTCAAGCTTTTTAAACAATAACATATGCAATCTTAATACAAAATTCAACACAGAATGGAATTATTTATTAATTTTCTCTCCAAATCTGGCCATTTAATATTTCATAATCCTATTTTTTGTATGATGGGCAACAATGTGGAGGAAGCTAATTACTAGTTTTTCTATTGACATATGTCTAGATTACTGCAATTACCCTTTTGTTCTAAGCAAATAACATAATTTTACAAAAGCTTACCTGTCCATTCTAATATGATCTACACATTGTATATCGCTCGAAAAAACCATTGCATTTAAGTTTAACTTTCTAATACGTAGGTTATCATAAGATATTCCACCATAAGATAGCCTACGTTGTTTTCTTATGTTAATATTTAATAAAGTTACAATAACAAAACATAATAAATGCAACAAAGTTTCCATTTGGTTCAATTGCATCATAAGCACTATAACCAATTGCATTTTTTTTAGTGAAAAACCAGCCATAATTGTTTGAAAGAAAAAACTTCATTAAAGTTGAAAACATAATGGAAAGCAAATCTTGGCATATGGTGATGGAATTCCCCTACATCATCCAATAATATATAAATCACAAACAAAACACAAAAAAGATTGGAATGAGCTAAAATAATTTAACCACAAAACATATAATATATATCAGAAACGCCTTTAATCCAGAGCTAAACAACATCTAAATAAGGAAAAATAAGTTCATTGGAAGGCAACATGGATTACACACTATCAATCAGAGAGTATGGACACTATTTTGTGTAAAAATCAACGATGAACTGAATAGGACAAATATTAAATGATGGATGAGAAAGTTGAAATTTTTTCAAAGAGAAAAGTAAATGCTATGAGTTGAGATCTATTGAAATATAAATTTTAATTATATTTGTAATTGAAACATGAAGAAAACATGTTCAATAGTTATATTCTCTTTTACTTCATGATTAGACATTAGAATGTTCATATTGTCAGAACACGGTCATTAAGAGGGAAAACAAAATTTTAATATGGGAATATTAAAGGCGATTGTAGGAAGAAACACCTCAATTGATAACCAATGAAGGGATTTTCCATACAAATGCCTTAATCATTTATTTATAGGCTTATATAAAGAAAGATCATGTCATAACACTCTAATCTATGAAACATTAAAAAGAGTAGTTTTTAAATAATGATCATTTAAGGCATTTTCTTGGCACAAATGCCTTGAATAATCTTCAATAAAAAATTGAAGGGGAGTATTAAAGGTATTTGGCCAAAAACGCCTTCAATACTCCCCTAATAAAAATTGAAGGGGATTATTGAAGGTGTTTTTAGTCAGAAACGTTTTGAATAACCCAATTTAATTTTATGAGTAGATTATTCAAGGCATTTTCTAAGAAAAAATGCCTTGAATAATTTTCAATACAAAATTAGAGGGAATTATTTAAAGCATTTGTTGCCAAAAATGCATTGAATAACCACCTCAAAAAAATTAAAGAGGATTATTGGAGGCATTTTTTGCTAAAAACATCTTTAATAACCCTATTAAATTTTATGAGGGGATTATTCAAGGCATTTTATAGGCAAAATTACCTTGAATAATTTTTAAATTTCAAAATTTTTTTTTGAGATTATTTAAGGCGTTTTTGTCCAAAAACACTTTAAATAATCATCTCATATTTTTTGTAAAGGGATTATTGAAGACATTTTTGGTTAGAAATGCCTTGAATAACCTCTATTAAATTTGTTGTTTTAAAGATTATTCAAGATATTTCTTGGCAAAAATGCCTCAAATAATCTTTAAAAAAATGGCAAGGGATTATTGAAGGTGTTTTTAGCCCAAAATGTCTTAAATAATCCTTTACAAAAAATTTAATGGAGGTTATTCAAAGCATTTCTGGCTAAAAACGTTTTCAATAATCCTCTTACAAAAAATTTTTAGGGATTATTCAATGTATTTTTGGCCAAAAACATATTGAATAACCCCATTTAATTTTTTGTAAAAGATTATTGAAAGTGTTTTTCATGCCAAATGTCATATATAAACTAAATTTTTTACTAGCATAAACTTACAACTGACTTACATTCATTTTTAGATATGCTTTTCAAAATGGTAACGGTTATTTTATAATTTTTATGTTAGGTCAAATATGAAAATAACGCTATTTTCTCTCTCAAAATCTTAGAATATCATAAGGAGATAGGAGTTTTCGACTCCGAGACTTTGGGTAATATTGAGAATATATCAGATTTCTCCAGAATCAGATTTTCCTGAACTAAATGTTGGAATTAAAAACCCAACAATAAGATTTCGAAAAAAAAAATGTATGGATTTCATTGAACCAAACACCAGTGTATCATTGGCACCTTAAAGAATCAATAACAGTCCTCATTGACTTAAGGCCTAACTCAAACATCAATTAAGCTTGGGATATTGTTTTTTTTTTTTTTTTTCATTTTTTGTGGTGTTAATTGTTTAAAATTTGTGGCTGATGATAAAAAGACGAGGAAGCAGAATGAATATTATGTAATCAAATCTTGCCTGGACTTTGAGAGGATAACTATTTAAGCAATTTTATTGCCGGTGATCGTTAAACGTATATGACAAAGAGATTGGCTTTGAAATAAATGTTCCTTTATTGGCTTCATATAAGGACAAACTATATTTCTGATTTTGTAGTTCATGTATATCTAACAAACACGTTTTTCTTTTCTTTCGTCTACTTTTTCTATCGTTCAAGCTATTAATAGGCAAAAGACTAAGGCATGCTTCAGCCACCGACACAAAATGAATACAAAGAAAGACAGGCATGAATTGGAGGGTGCATGAATGACGCATATGCATGGTCACGCCCCTGGAGGAGTGGTGGTGACTAGCTAAGCTCTCCGAATAGAAAATGATATATGAAGGGACCAATGGGTTCCCAATAGAAAAGTTGCCCCACTTCCATTGTTCTGAGCTCTCTCTTATCATAAAGTAAACGGACCATTCTTTTATGTTATGCCACATCTCCCACCGTCAAAACTCACAAGAGACATCCTTGCTTCCAAGTTGAAAACTCCATTCAAAGCACCAAATCCCTAACGTTATACGTTTTTAAGATAGCTTTCTCCACAAGTACTAAACAAAGTTGAAATGAGAGGGACAGTCCCACAAGTTGAGAGGCGGCATATCAGTAGTAAATGATCCCCTCAAGCATTTCTGGATCTGAATCTTTTTTCTTCCTTTTTAAAAAGGTGTTTCTTAACAATTATCTAGGAGTTTTTCCTTAATTATAGCTGAATTAGTCCAATGTTGTGGAACAAAATGAGTGCGGATTCACTAATTACAAAAGGTTAGAATAACATATAAAAAAAATATAGATCATCCCCATAATTGTAGAATTGCAAATTAAGTTTGTGTTAATCCCATTAGTTAGGAATCGAAATAGTGAAACATAGAACATGTGTGTGTGTGTGTATATATATATATATACACACACACACACATATCTTTGTCCTAGATAGTAGTGTAGAAGCAAAAGAGCAAGAGTTGAACAAGAGTTGTTTAATTCTCAGAACATGACAAAATTGTTTGCGTCCGGAATGGATTTTATTAGGTACCTGAAAAAGAAAGAGAATACGTCAGGAGAGGTCGGAGCTTGATCCGATGCTTGCTCTTTGAAGCTTGTTCTGTATCATTACTCACCCTTATTTTTATTTTTAGCTCTCACTTCCTCCGAACATAGATTTGAGTGTTGAAAAGCAAACACCAAACCAACTTTGACATCTCCATACTTGTTCTCTTTCTCGTGCGGGTGTCTGCCCTCGGATCTATTCTCGACGGAAACAAAAAATAAGTAGTACAATGTATTATCCCTCTTGCTCTCCTAATCTTATGAATCTATTACTTTTACAAAGAAAAATTAGAGCATGATAGGGAAATTTTTTTGGATCCTTTACAACCACTTATCCAATCATATGCATATACGTATTTGCAAGAATGCAAGGGAATCATTTTCGATCCTGATCCTATTTTGAAAGGTCAGTTGTGCCACCTTAATTTCCAATAAACCAAAAGGTAACAGCACAAAGAAGAGCTTATATATTTAGGAATTTATTACCAATAACCTTGATTTAAATATAAATTTGATTTACACGACATTTTATACCCTTGCATTAGACTAAATTTTTTTATGATATTGAAATAATAAAGATCTGTTTAAAGTTTATAATTTTACTAAATTCATAGGTTTAATTATAAAAATTTTAAAATTAGCACTCTCAAATCTCAAAAATTTAAGTAGTATACATATAAACTCTCAAAATTGAAATTTTTGAACTTTTATTTTGTAAATGTTTTATCATAATTATGATATCAATGATGAAAGAGCATATTTTAAAGTCATGGTACTTATAATAGTTAATAATTATATGTATAAAACTATTAAAAATAAATAAATATAAAAATTATATATGATTATTTGTTGGATTTGAGGGTTAATATGGAAGAAGATAAATGAGAAGCAACAAAAGAGACAAAAAGATAGAGGCGTTGGGCTTTGATCCAAAATGGGTTGATAAATGTAAACAGCTCCAACTACAAGAATTCCGGCCCATCTGCCATTGTTGTCCTTCGACGGCCTCTCCAACATACTTGCTATAATTACTAAAGGAGACTTAGAAATCAGGACCCGGAAGGAACATTCGGCTGTTAAAGGTCAATCACGTTTAAAAATTGTTTTTATTGCGTCAACGATGAGGATCCACTTAATGTCAAGAAATGATTTATAGACCCTTCTAGTCTTCAAGCAAGGGACGATTCTGCTATTAGGTAATTGATTTTTATCCTTAAGTTCTTCAGAACCCCAATATACTAGGATTTTGTCTTATTGAATTTCAGTGAGGTGATTGTTTTTTCTTCTTTGGTTTTTGCTGGCAAGCAGAGGCCGATTCTGAGAGGTTTGGAGTTGGAGTTACCAGTGAGGCACAGAGTTTTTTTATGCTTTGTCTAAAACGTATGTTCGTTTCTTCTTCTCCTTCTCCTTCTTATTCTTCTTCTCCTCCTTCTTCATTTTTGTCTAGTTTTTGAGTTTAAGAGCAAATTTGCCTCCTTTGGGGAAAATTTTTAAGGGATTATGCAGATAGGAAATTGACTCTATATTTTTTGAGGAATTAATCTTACATTTTTATGAACCTCTTGGAGGCATAATTTTGGCTACTTGTTAGGCATAAAGGTTAGAATGGGTTGGGAGACTGAAAAATGGATGAACTTGCGGGACAGTAGTAGAAAGAGAATAATTCTCGAGAGAGATAAAAGCAAGGAGAAAGGCTTTTTAATGCAGGATGGTAGTAATGAGATGCTTTGTTGTGTCTAAATCCATTTTGCTTGCTATGTGATGATCTGTTATAGTTATTCGCTTTCAGAAATGGTAAATGTTATCCTTAGGAAAAGTATGGTGTTAAAGTACCTCGACGAAGTAAGATGAATGCTAATAGGTTATGATGTAGTGACTTCACAATTAATATGTTGTAACTAAGGGAAGGGAGTTTTTGCATTTGACGTCAAAATGAATGAAGGAAACAATAATAGCTAAATAATGCTTTGTATTTTTAGTAATTTGTCGAATGATATTAACATGCCCCTATTTGATGAATAACTAAGATGGTGCTAAAATCATTATAAATGTCTAGTGCATCTTAGCTAATTCAGAATGGTTGGAAGGAAGGGATAAGGGAGAAATAGAGGCGGAAGAACCCTTGCGTAGTTGAAGAATAAGGATGTTTCAGGATGCATGAATATTTTTTTGAGATATTTCCATAATCATAATGCATGAAATTGACTAACCCGAAGCGTTGATATTTGTCAACCTTTGAAAATTACAAAACCATTGGAATTTGTATTCAAAATCAGCTAGGATTGTGTAAGTTTATGCTTTTGTTCATTTTTCCCAAAAATGGGTCCAATGACCTGGGTTCATTGGTATTTTCTTTGTTTCCTTTTTCTCGTGACATATCAGGATGATCTGGGAAGTGTAGTTATCTGTTTTTTAGCCCCTTGTAGTGGGGTTATCTGCTTTTTTGCCCCAACGTGCCGATTACTAGATGCTATAAAGAAAATATATTACAATATAAAAAAGTGATAAGTGAAGAAGGAAAAGAAGATGTTCTGCTACCTTCAGATCTTCTATTTGTAAGGTAGGAAAAAAAAGGTTAATTCCATCTCTAATTGAGTGTTCACAACTTCTTATTCATTTGTTAAAGATAAGAGAGAATCTTTGTGGACTTTTATCTTCATATCTTCTTAAGAGCTGCTTTTTCAGAGGTGGCATTTTAGTTGTTTCATCACTACTTGTGTCATAGCTTGACAGATGTGAAAATTCTTTCTTATCCTTTTTGGATATTGTCCAAATTTATTGCTTTATCATTTTCCAGGTTGAAAGAAATGGGAAAGGTAGTAAGTGTCTTATTCCATTGTTCCCATACTTCTTGATAATGAATAAGGAGGTTTTCTAGATAATCAAGATCTTTCATTCTAGAGAGTTTCTCTAGAAGTTCAATAGCTTGGACTGTATTATAAAAATTTTGTATAAATATTTTCTTCGTACAAATTATATTGGTGGGTGCTTCGGCTAAGAATTTTTTGGCTATTTCTAATAGATCAATTCCAGCAGTGAATTGGCATAAACAAAAATGCTGAAAATTTTCCAAAACAAAATTTAGTTTTTCAATATTTTCATTTGTGGGTTCTAGTCTTAGTCATTCTAGAAGTTTGGTTATCTCCTAGATTTGATAAGGTTAATAAAATCTTTCTCATTCAAAAATTTCAATTAGATTGGTAATGGTTATATATACATGTAAAAATTCTCATTTTTTACTAAATCAAATATTTTGGAATTGATAAAAGTTGGAAATTCTTCTAATAAATTAAAAGGAAGATTTTGTACGACTATTGCGCTTACAAAACTCATTTCGATATTTATTCTATCAAAAAGCTCATGATTAATTCTAAACTTTAATTTAGGTATTCATTTTGAAAGTCTTTCATTATGGAGATAGGCTTGTGAAGAGTATTCTTCTAATTTTTCTTTCAAGATCAATTCACTTTCCAAATGAATAATATTGAAAATGTTTGAAAAAATGTCTTGTGGTAAGACCTTTTTAGCCTTTTCGAATAAGAAAATTTTTTGTAATTTAATAAAAAGTGAATGAACTATTTGTTTATTAAAATATTCACAAATTTCAAAAAAGTTGTTTATCTCCTCAATGTCAAATTCATCTTGCTCATTAGAATAAGACTTTAAAACAAGATTTTGAAATTTCTTTTTATCATTGACTTGTTGAGCCATTGATTCAAAAAGTTGAGTCAAATTTTTTTAAAGCTGGGCTTTCACCAAGAAGATGGGATTTCCATACATCATTCATTGATCTGATTGTATAATCCTTCTAGTAATCCTAGATTATAAAAATCATTTACCAAATCTAATTGTTGTGACTGTTATAGTTTCAACAGTTATTTTGTTGTTTTAATGATTTTTGAATAAGAGATTATAGAAAAGTTATTTGGATCCTTAAAATCCTTTTTCAATATTGTCCAAATTTACTGTTTCCTCATCTTTCGGGTTGAAAAAGGAGACTTCTAAGCCATGAAGGATGTATAGAACATCTTCAAATAAAAATGGAAAAAGTAAACACTCCTAAAGAAAGGGTAGAATACTTAAATATGGTAGAAGAATTCTATCATACACATATAGATCTTTTTACAAAATTTAATTACCATTATATGTTAAATTATGAAACTAAGGATAACAGTAGTAGTGATAAAGCAAGTAGTATAGATGAAAATAGTGATGTCAAAAAAAATGACAAGATTTTAGCTACAAATCCTGTAAATAAAACATCTAAATCTTCTAAAGAAGAAGAAATAGATACAAAATTTATGAAAGCAGATCAAACAAATAAAGGAAAAAGAAAATTAGGAGAAGTTTCTAATGATCAACATAGATTTCCAAATATAGGACGAAATAATACAAACAAAAAAAGTAGAAACCTCTACTTCTCTTAGCATAGAACCAGTGCCCCAAAGTACAGTTGTTGAAACTTTAAACAAAAGAAATGTAGCTCAAGAAGGTAATTGTTTAGATCTATCAAAAGTAATAATATTAAACTATAGGAAAACCATAGAGGATTGGGCATAGTTTATGATTATTGTAGTAAACAACTATAAAGATACTTGATCAAAAGAAAGATTTTTCAATTATGTTTGCGGTACATTTTAAGGAGGTATACTTCAATTCCTTGGAAAATGGGAAAACTCTTCTCAAGGAAAAGCCCAAAAAGAAATACTTTTAAAATCAAATTGCTATGATACCTGATTTATTAAAAAATCATACAAATCTTTTAAAAAAATGAGTTTTGTAAAAGAATGGATCTAGCATATCACAACAGTGAAGCTAGTTATGTGTTAACAAAGTTAAAACTTTGTGATTTTAGACAATTAGAAGAATGTTCTAAAAAAAATACATTCATGAATACCAAAAATTGGATGAAAATCATTCACAATTTTCAAATGAACGATTTTTTCATAAATTACTATCACTATGGGATGAACTCTGTGATCAATAGTATCTTGCATATTTGGAAAAGCATAATGTGTCAGTAGAAAACAAAGAGTATATTGTTTCTATAGGTAATAGAGTCTATTTTGCCTCTAAACAAATAACAGAACATTATTTAAAGATTAAAGTTGCTAAACAGGTTAAAAGTAAACTAAATAATAGGTAGTGTACGAAGATTTTAGAAAATGAGTGGGAATTTGGCTATAAACGACAAGGCACACAAACCAAGAAAAACTTTAGAAATAGAAAAATAAAATGTTATAAGCTTATCAAATGGAGGCCTAAAAAGCATACATTTGATAAGAAAAAGAAATTTATTAAAAGAAAAACTTCTAATAAACAAAAAACAAATGCAAATGTTTTATTTACGATGAGGGTCAAATAGCACCTAATTGTTTTAATAAAGGGAAAAGTGTTAAAAGGATGATAAAACCCTTAAAGATATATAATTAGAAGTTTGTTTTGAAGAAGATATTTCATAAGAAAAAGTTATCTATGAGTTAGTATCTGAAACAGATTCTGACTCTGATGAAAAAATATTTTCATGCTAAATAATAGTAGTGAAGATTTTGAAATACATGAAGTATTTGCTCAATAACAGCAAATGACTAAGCTTAGTGATGTATTTGATGATCAGATGGAAAGATTACAAACCATAAAAAAAGATGAAACTTATAAAATTTTGAAATTTACACCTTAGGTTAAAAGATATATTGAAAGATTTAATGGTAGTACTATTGCAAAAAATACAAAGAAAGGATTAGTGGAATTCCACTATTCACTAAGAAAAAATTACAAGAGTAAAGTAATAACATCCTGCTGTTAGATTTATTCATTTTGGTGTCATTATGATCACCATAAAAGCATTATTTATAGCAAGTGATTACATCCCAATCATAATTGTTTTATCAAATAAATGTTTTAACAATCTTATTAAAGCACTAATAAGAGGAATTTAATCTAATTTAGTCACAGGAGTTGTTTGGTTTAAAGTAAAATCAAATTATTTTTATAAATAAATCATCCATTAATAGAAGAATGTTTTTATTTAAAAATAATGACAAAAACTTAGACTTGAAAGATATTATAAATGATTTGGATATTAGTTAGGTAGCTATCAATGAATATACTAATCATTTCGCACACTTTTATAAAAGAAGTTTATAGCAAAATTATAGAAAATTTTGAACTAGGATTTTTTGCACTAGAAATTAAACATAGATTAATGAATTTAAGAGATTTATCTGTCCTAACATAATGGTTATTAGAAGGGGTAACAAAAAAAAAGTTGTAGATCTTGTAAACCAATAAAAATTATGCATATGATAATAATTTATACTTTGAAAATGTTGCATCAAGCAGTAGTATTAATAAAAATTTATTATTACCAGTTATTTTTT